TGAGGATTTTGTCTTTGTGGATCTTAGATGGCTTGTTCTCATATCAAAGTTATTTCAGTTGTCCAGGCAAATGAGGCTGAGATTCTGAACTGCAGGAATGCGGATTGGAGAGAACATAAAGAGAATTTTAAAGAAGTTATTAGATATGGTAGTCATGTGAGAATTGGAAGAAAGAGTAGAGTGGAAGTAGAATTGAGATGGGGGACACAGGAAGAAGACAGATTTTTTAAAATTAATTAATTTATTTATTTGACAGAGAGAGAGGGAACACAAGCAAGAGGAGGGGAGAGGGAGAAGCAGGCTCCCCGCCGAGCAGGGAGCCCAATTTGGGTCTCGATCCCAGGACCCTGGGATCATGACCTGAGCCAAAGGCAGATGCTTAACAACTGAGCCACCCAGGCGCCCCAGGAAGAAGAGCAGATTTAAAAGAAGATATGAATTAAGTTAACAATATTGAAGACCTGTGGGAAAATCCCATGAAGCTATCTAGCAGATGGTTTGAAAGAACAGTCTGGTGCTCTGGAAGTCACTGGCATTTAGAATTTTAAAATCATGATTGTTGATAATTGTGATGACCAAAGGAAGAGTGTATACAGAATGAAAGAAGAGTCTTAGAGATAGAGCCCTGGGGATACTAACTTGTAAGGAGCTAGCAAAGCAGTCCCTGAAGCTGACCAAAAAGTTGCATTGTATAGGTGTATCTAACATTTCAAGGATGAAGATGATGTGATTGGTCAGTAGTGTCACATTGCATAGGAAGTGGAAAAGAAAACATTCAGATTTGTAGTATTAGGGATTTTGACCAGAATGGGTTGTAGTAGAGAGCCCTCTAGTGGAAGGGAGCATGGCATTTGAGGAACTGGAAAGAGCATGATGAAGCTGAAGCTCAGAAAAGAATATGAATGAGACTGGCATTTTTCATCCTTTAAATACAATGTGACCAGTTTCTTAGTGGAAAGAAATTAATGGGGGGGGGTTAGTTTTAGTATCTCAGTGTAAGAGAGTTATGAAAGTTATATGTGACTTTTTCTTTTCTTCTGCCCTGTGAAGGTGGAGAAGAGGTTTTGAGGAGCTAAAAAATGGGGAGAATGACTTTTTTTTTCAGCAGTGGGAGGGGATTTAGGGAATTTTTCTCCCAAAGAGAAGTGCCGAAGCAGACAGTAAAGAAAAGCAGCAGGGCCTTTTTTTTTTTTTAAAGATTTTTTTAATTTATTTGACGGAGAGACACAGCGAAAAATGGAACACAAGCAGGGGGAGCGGCAGAGGGAGAGGGAGAAGCAGGCTACCTACTGAGCAGGGAGCCCGATGTGGGACTCGATCCCAGGACCCTGGGATCATGACCTGAGCCGAAGGCAGACGCCTAATGACTGAGCCACCCAGGCACCCGCAGCAGGGCCTTTTGACGCCTAGATCAACTAAAGTTCCAAAGGCTTGGACCAGGCACAGAAAGATGAGTGTTAGAGGAAACTTACTTATCAGCAAGCTAATTAAGAAAAATCATTGCAAAATGTATTATTGTACATATTTAGTTTTTATAGTGCCTCTTCTGGAAAAAAACTATTTGCTTTATTACTTTGTTTTCTCTATTTATTATATGAAAACTGATACTAAATATACAGGGAAGAAATTCTTTATTTCCTCCTCACACAAAAGACTGGATAGGGAAGATACTCTTTTTTTCTCTCCTTTTGTTTTATTAAATTAATAATTATGCATGGAGAAAATTGGAACAACATATGTTAACATTTAACATTGCTTACCTCAGGGGAATTGACAAGAGAAGGTTGAAATTAACTTCTTTTTGCACATATCTCTTGTTTAACTTCATTACAGTGTTTTTAGAACAACCAGTAAAGCATGTAGTGATTATAGGGAAAGGCTAAAAATAAAATGAATTAATACATATTTGTAGGAAGATTAAGAAAATAATATAAAGATATGCAATGTAGGAAGAGTTTGCCACTCTAAATTCCTACTGTGTATCTTTGGCTATGTGTAAGCTTTTGTTACTTACTATACAAAACAGAATGTACAGTATATAAAAATATATTTATAAGACTATATACTTTTTCATTTATATCATGGGCACCTTTCCATATTGATACATACCAATTTATTTTTTAAACATTGCATAGAATTTTGAAGACTTTTGGGGGGAACTTTTTTTTTAATTGAAATATGTACAGAGAAAAGTATCCAAGCTTAATGACTTTTACAAAGTGAAGACATGTTTAACTACCATCCAGATCAAGATCAGTAACGATGCCAGGGCGCCTGGGTGGCTCAGTAGGTTGGGTGTCTGCCTTCGGCTCAGGTCATGATCCCGGGGTCCTGGAATGGAGCCCTGCATCCTTCAGGGCTCCCTGTTCAGTGGGGAGTCTGCTTTTCCCTCTCCCTCTGCTCCTACCCCTGATCGTGGGCTTGTGTGTGCGCACGCGCGCTCTCTCTCTCTCTTGCTCTCTCAAATAAATAAATAAAATCTTTAAAAAAAAATCAGTAATGATGTTGATAACCCTTCTTCATACTGCCTTCCAGTTAATGAACCTTCTTCCTATCCATAGGTAACCACTCATATAGATAAGTTGTGTCTGTTTTTTAACTGTATATAAATTGAGGCATACAGTCGTGTGTGGCTTTTTTATGTGTGTGGCTTTTTGGGGGGGGCCTATATTATTTTTGTGAGATTTATTTATGTGGTTCCATGTAGCAGTGGTTTATCCCTTTTCTGTTTGGTATGGTAGGTAGTCTTTAGTAGAATGCATAAATCATGATTTTTATGTATTGTCCTACTGATGGGTGTTTGAGTTGTTTCAGATTAGGGATTATGAGTAATGCTTCTGTAGGCCTGTATGTGTACAAGGTGTACATGCCTTTTGCCCCACATTTCTATTGAGTATGTGCAAATTGCTGTATATCAAGGAAAGAAATTGCTAGACCATACGGTATCCATATGTTCACCTTTAGTAGATACTGCCCAGTTGTTTCTCAAAGTGACCCTGACATTTTACCCCTCTGTCAGCAGTGTGAGAGTTCCATATACTCTACTTCCTTGCCAGCACCTGGAATTGATGGCTTTTTGTTTGTTTGGTTTGTTTTTGTGTTAGTGTTTGTTTTTGATGGCTGTTTTAGAACATTTTAAAAGTCAGCCCAGTATTTTATTATGTGAATAGACCATAATTTAATCTTTTGATGGGCATTTGCCCTCTTCCTTCCCTATAGCACAGCCAGAACCTGGACAGCTCCAATATCTAGTGGGCTCTGTGACCTGACTGTGTGCAGAAGAGTCAATCCTGGAAGTTTCAGAATCTCTGTATATTCTTTTTTTTTCCTTAACAGATTTTTCTCACATTTCCTCTGAGTAGTATGGTACCAATATGAAGAATCCATATAAAATAGTTTCATTTTATGACATGAAAACCAATTTTGATTTTGTGGTGGTGAATGTTTTTTTTTTTCACTCCTATTTAAAAGTAATGTAAAAAGTAGTATAATGTCTGAAACTACTTTTGGTGATAGCATTGCTAAACAGCCAATTTAGTTATCCAGAATAATTTGCATTCTCTTATAACAAGCATACCGTGCTAGCTGCTGCACCTGCATCACATAGATCCTCAGTCCACCGGAAAACTACCGTGTGAACTACTTGAGAGTGTGATCACTTAGGTTTTGGAAAACTGTTTGACTTTCACCCTTTGAAAATGAAAGGTATTTCCAATCAGAGAAACATGATTCAAACCCCAACCTCTCTTTTAACAAATCTCCTCTCCCCAGTTTCCTCCCAATTTTCTTGTAACATAGGTTTTTTAAAGTATGAAACTCTGGGGGCTTGCTTTTAATGACTTAAATGTGATCACCAGACCTCCTGCTCCTTCTCATGATAGGAGATGTGTTACTTCCTGATAACCACTCTTCCTGTTGTGCATTATAGCTTTAAAGAGTTGTTGGCACAGGTGGCATTCAGTACCATCCAGTTACCGTACGTAATTCCTTGGGAGAATTTAGATACTGTTAACCCTCTATGATAGCTGAATAGTCTTTTGGAAAGTGCCTTATAGGCGCATAAGATAGTATTATCTTTCCTATTATTCTTTGCTTTTTGCAGTTGTATGTTGAATTATTCATTTTTGGAATAGCTATAATGATCAGAAGAAGCATGTGATTCTCATACTGTTAAGTTTTAGTCATGCTTTTTTACTTTCACATGTGGAGGTTTTTCACATTTCTAATTAATTGCTGTCAAAAACTTCTTAGAGGTAGCTGAAAACTACTGCTTTATATTCTGTTCAGTTTTTTTATAAGTCTGTGTCTTAGAAAAATGTCTTTACCTCTTGAGATTTTTTATAAGTCTGTGTCTTAGAAAAATGTCTTTACCTCTTGAGATTTCTTAGGTCGTATTGCAGCATAACACTAAAATTCTTCCAATTCTTTGTTATCTGCAGTAATAGTAACGAGTCTGAAAATGCCTATATGAATTAACGAATAAGCCAGAAACCTTATTGAAGATGCCGTTTTCAATGACCTCTCCTTTCTCAGGCCCTAAATCTTTTTTCTCAGTGTTGATAATGAATAGCAAAACTTGCTGGCTTGATTTTTTTTTTCCCCTTTCTTCTCAGTATCTGGTAAAAGTTCTAATATTTTCAACCAGGATTGGGCTGCAGGTGGTGGTGGTAGGAATACAAATCTAATCAACTTCCGACATATAACTAGTAATTAGGAATCTCTTCATTTATTTCACATGAACCTAGCTTATGGATTAATTTTAGAGACCACTTTCATGTCTTGGTTAATAAAATGCTTTGACCTCTAGTAGATCATTTCTGTATATTCTGGACAGTGCAGTGTCAGTCTTTACAAAGAAGTCCAGTATTACAGAGTTTGCTCGAGTTGCTTCATTATAGAGTTAACACAGAGAATAAAGCACCCAGTAACCTAGAACCAACAGAACCCTCAGCTTCCCTGTACTTTCAGTACCTGCAACAGCTGTTTCTCTTTCTCCACAGGTATCAGTCAGAGCCGGATCTCTCACTGGCTGTTGCAGCAGGGATCAGACCTGAGTGAACAGAAGAAAAGAGCATTTTACCGATGGTATCAACTTGAGAAGACAAACCCTGGTAAATATCATTTCCTTATTTTATTGCATCTGAAACAAGACAAATGTAATTAATTACTTTATTAAATCTGTGCTGATTGATCTTCACTAAGGTGATTTCATACTTTACTGTTGTTCCTTTTTCCCAAAGAGCACTCTTGCCAATGGCCATACCACCCTGAATGTGCCCAATCTCACCCAAAGAGCATAAACTGTGAAACCTGAGCCCTGATTATACTATTTTTTAGTTTAGTGTCTAATACTATTAGTCATTTTCACTCCTTCCTCCAAGGCACCTCTTTATTTCCAGATTATATGCTATTTCTAACGATACTTTGAAAGACAGGTCATAATTGTCAGTGGCTGTTTTCTTTTTTTCAACTGTAGGTACACAAATAAGATTACATACCTGGTTTTTTATTTTTGTAAATGTTATTTTAGTTAGTAATGTAAATTTCATACTTTTATTTAGTTATTGCTATACCGTGTCTGGTGATCTCTGCTAATGATTTTCTATTTCTAATTACCTGGGTGATGAGCATGTCTTTGGACTTTAGGGTGAAGCTGCCCTGATAACTTTGGAAGCAGCAATAGGTTGGAAAGTAGAATGAAATCTGAAGGAAAAAGATCACCAAAACCTTTATGTCTGAAGTTGCCAGAAATAGGCAAGATCTATGGTAGGATACTTTTAACAAGTGGTATATAAAGTCTGAAGTTGTGTGGCAACCTGTTTTTCATCTATACATTACACAGACTGGTGGTGATGAGCCTGATCTCAAGTTTAGCCTTATGATTGGAGAACTGTCTTCTGTAATACTACAGCATTAAAGCCTTTGCTTATTATAGATTAAATCATCAGTTGGAATATTGCATATTGAAGACTTAGCTAATAATGGCATTGACTCTGAGGTGGAAATAATTTAGAGAAACATATTTGTGTGTATGTGTGTGTGTGCTAAGATTTTTTTTTTTTAAAGATCACATGCCTGATCTGAAAGCCCCAGGCAGAACAAAACAGAACAGACCATATCAGCCTCTCTACAATGAGGTTTTTTTTTTATCTACCCTGCCCCCCAGTTTCTATTTTGAAGTGTTTCAGACGTACAGAAGAGTTGAAAGACCAGCACAGTGAACACCTGTTTACTCTCTTCTTAGATACAATAATTGTTAACATTTTGCTATATTTGCCTTATCCCTAGAAAATAAATAAATGAATAAATTTAAAAATCTATGTATGTATGTATATGCATGTAAATACATCTCTTTCTCTTCAGCATTCATCTGAAAAAAAGGGTAATTGCCTGCATAACCACAGTCTGTTACCACATCTAAGAAAACTAATAATAATTCCATATCATCTAACATCTAGTTTATATTCATATTTCTCTAATTATTACAAGAATGGGTTTTTTATTAAACAGTATCTGAAAAAATAGTGATTTATGATTTAGGTGGACAAATTGGAATTTGTTATATGTCTCTTTAGACTCTTAAATCTAGTCATTCAAACTTTTTTTTTTATAACATACACTTCTTAAACCATCTAATGTCACAGAATGTCCCATATTCTGGATTTTTCTGTTTCCTCTTAGTGTGAATTAACTTATTCCTCTATAGCCCCTGTATTTCCTGTAAACTAGAAGGTAGGCTTAGAGACTTGATTAGATTCAGGTTAAACATTTTTGGCAAGAACACTTCATAGATTATTTAGAAAGGGCATGTAGTAATGTCTACAATGTACTTTGAAATGCAACAAAATAAAATGGATAAGGAGATGGGTAGATAATGTGATAAAGTGAGTAAAATATTAGATGATTTGAGTATAGATTTTCATCATAAAATTCTTTCATTGTTGCTGTATGTGTGTTTGAAAATTCACAATAAAACATTGGGACAAAATGCTTTGTCAGTAACATTTACCTCATATATGAAGAGGCATGTAATGTCAAGTTGTAGCAAGCACTATCATATGCTAAGTTTGATCATTTGTTAAAGTAATGACCACCAGATCTTGTCTTTGCAATTTGTAAATAATCTATAGGACATCATTTTGCCACTGGATGGATATCCTCTTCTACAGCAACCTTTTGTCAGTAGTCTTAGCATCAACTGATGCTTACCTAAATGAGTTATTCCATTAGGGATTGCAAAATAATCATGATCTTATTTAGCAATCCTTCAGCATTTATTAGCTAGCAGTTTTTCTGCAAAGAACTTTCATTTTTAGGTATTCTTCTAATGATAGCTCGCTATGTAAGCAAATCTCTCAAAATAATGACTCTTGTTGTTGCCATTAGCTAAATGTTCTAAAGCAGCATAATTCAGTGGAAATATTATTTAAATGACACATAATTTAAAATTATCTAGTAGTCACATTTTAAAAAGTAAGAGATAACTAAAATTAATTTTAATATATTTAGCAAATATGTATTAACACTTCAACATTTAATCAGTACTTTTAAAAATTACAGAGACCTCTTTCTCTCTCTCTTTTTTTAAGTAGGCTCCACACCTACTGTGGAGCCCAGCGTGGGGCTTAAACTCAACCCTGAGATCAAGACCTGAGCTGAGATCAAGAGTCAGACACTTAACTGACTGAGGCACCCCCCTTCCTTCCTTCCTTCTTTCCTTCCTTCCTTCCTTCCTCTTTCTCTCTCTCTCTTTCTTTTCTTCCTTCCTTCCTTCCTCTTTCTCTCTCTCTCTTTCTTTTCTTCCTTCCTCCCTTCCTTCCTTCCTCCCTTCCTTCCTTCCTTCCTTCCTTCCTTCCTCCTTTCTTTTTGTACTGATTTTTGAAATCTAGTCTGTATTTTACACTTGAAGCACATACCATTTCCATTCAGCCACATTTCAGGTGCTCAGTGGCCACATGTGGCTACCATATTGGACAGTCTTAAAAAAATCATACTTGAGGCAACACTTCAAATTCAGCTCTAAGCAATCTTTCCAAAGACTTCACTTCTCCCTTGACTCACACACAGCAAAGCAAATCAGATGGCAAGTAACAAAAACTTCGCACTTGGTGTGCTTAATAGAGCAGCTTAGGCTGATAGCAAAGATTTGGCTAGGTAAATAAGGAACTGTACCTAGGGCTTTCATAAACTTGGTCACATTGCAGCAGTTGACTGCCATGGGGGGAACACCAAAGGGATTGTCAAGATGTTCAAAAATATATAGGGCAGAACAGTGAAGAATTTGGAGGAAAAAACTAGCCCCAACTGTGTCAGGCCATCAGCCTCCATAAGAGAAGGGATTTTTTTGTCTCTTGGATTTGGCACATAGAACAGTGCCTTGACATACAATCTAATCAGTTGGTGAGGTAAATTCCCATCCCACACTGGGATTTCAGGGCTGGGCTCCAATCCCAGACAGGGACTAGGACACCAGGAAAATGAACTGACCAGAAGGTAGAAGGGGACTAAGGTGCAGCTCTCAGGCCCCTGCAGGTGATCTGCAGAATACGGCTATCAGAATCCAGTTTTGGGCGCCTGGGTGGCTCACTTGGTTCGGCGACTGCCTTCAGCTCAGGTCATGATCCTGGAGTCCCTGGATGAGTCCCACATCGGGCTCCCTGCTCAGCAGAGGGTCTGCTTCTCCCTCTGACCCTCCCCCCTCTCATGTGCTCTCTCTCTCTCATTCTCTCTCTCAAATAAATAAATAAATAAATAAGAGCACCTATTATTAAAAAAAAAAAAAGAATCCAGTTTTTAGCTCTGGGGTGATACAATGTTCTTCTGCAGCTTCAGAAGAAGCTTTATTTTTTATTAAAAAATTACTGTTTTGTTTATGTTTTTGATCTTATTTTTTATTTCAGTTTGTCTTGGAACCAGAGTTAGGCTAAACCATGATCAGGAAATTGGAGGAAGGTGGAACTAGGGCATTGAAACAGGAAAATGGGAAAGGACTAACAGTATTCATCCAGCTGTTGATAAGGAGTTGCTTTCTTTAAGGAGATAGTACCTCCTTTTAAGAATAAGGTCCTCTAGGAGCGCCTGGGCTGGCTCAGTTGGTGGAGCATGTGACTCTTGATCTGGGGTTGGGAGTTTGAGCCCCATATTGGGTGTATAGTTTACTTAAAAATAAATTAAAAAGAATAAGTTTCCCTAATTATATGCACTTGTTTTTCAGTGAAGTTATATTGCTAATGATTATCCCCTTTTTAAAGGACTTTCTAATTTTTATTTGAAAACCAAATCCATAGGGGTTCTGTCGGACAGAATTTAAAGTTAGCTAAAGAGAAGAGGATACTTTGTAATTGTCAATTGGTAGTTTTCATAGCATCAACAGTAATCAAATATTAGCAATTAAAATTTAATATTTAGAAGTTATTCTTTGCATTTTTACTTTTATTGTAAGACCTAATATGATAGAATTCTTTCTAGGTGAATGCAGCTTTGTTGACTTTAAAATAACCTTTGAGGGGTGCTTGGGTGGCTCAGTTGGTTGGGCCTCTGTCTTCGGCTCAGGTGATGATCCCAGGGTTCTGGGATCGAGCCTCATGTCAGGCTCCTGCCTGCCGCTCCACCTGCTTGTGCGCACGCTCTCTCTTAGTCAAATAAATAAATATAATCTTTAAAAATAAATAAAATAGCTTAAGAATTGTATTGTTCCTTCTTCGTGGACACTGTGAAACTACTATTGTGTTTGGATAAGATGAACTAAAATTATGTTAGCACCTAAAAATAGCTTACCCACTGTCTGGTCATTAGGTGCTTATAGTACATGAGAATCTTCTTTGCAGGTCAGTGCAGAAGTGATTGGAATCTACCTAAATGTCCCTCAGTCACAAACTGGTTAAATAAATGATACATCTGTACAATGGAATAGTAAGGAGGCTATATAGCTATTTTTTTAAAGGAGGGCTTTATATGAATTGAATTTATATGTAGGAATATCAAATTCATAAGTGAATAAAGTAAGGTACAAAATAGATACAGTATACTGTCATTTATATAGAAGGAATACATACACACACATATATGCTTATGTAAGCACAGAGCATCTCTAGCAGGCTGTATTTGGAGA